TTCATTTATTATTTTACCAGCAAGTTCATCCTGTTCTCACCAATTAGTAGTGCCAAGGATTGGATGACTTAGAGCTGTTGCACATCCTCTTGCATTTATCTGGGTTTATTTTTTGACAATTTTTCTAAATAAAAAATGATGAATGTTCTCCTTTTTCAGCCGCAACAGCATAGCCACAATCCAGAGAGACCCTTTCAGGCATGTGAAAATACAAAAGGTTTAAAACAACAGTTTCAAGCTGCATTTTTTAAAAGTTCCTTTAAAAAAAGAATAGTGCAGGACTTAAGGGCTTCTGCTCAGAGGAAGGTAAGCAATGCCTTCGTGAAGTATAAGACCAGATTGTCAATTGATTATGATCTAGGTGTTGCAGCCATTGTTTTGCGTGTGTGGCTTGTCAGGGATGATTTGAATTGAGTTTGCACTCCCAATCTTGTGGGCCACAGACAGTGGTACAGTAATAAATCTAGAAATGGGGCTGTCCACCGTGGCAGTTCCCATACCCACCCTAAACCCCAAAAGACTCCAAAATGCAGCTGGATTGGTCTGTATCAACAAATGAAGAGTGAGTCTTTTGTAAAGGTAATGATTTATAATTGCCTACTCAAAACCAAAGGATCCTCAGGTAGCTGTGGGTTTTTCAGACTGTTTGGGAATGACAGATCATCTCCCCCCTTATCACAACAAAACACCCATAACAAAAAAACACCCTGATCACAGGAAGCACCCAATCTCCTGAAAAGAACAAAAACCTGATCCCACAGCTACAAATACTCAACAGTCCCACACATTATACCAGAACACAGACAGAGTTCTAGCTCCTGTCCTCTGAAGATCCCGGCCACAGATACTGGTGAAACGTTACGAAGAAAAATCTCTAAAACATGGCCAAACAGCCCAAAAAAAGCCACAAAAACCATTGGATCCCAGCCGTGAAAGCCTTCGAGAACACATCCTCAGGTACTTTGCTTACAGCAGGGATAGGAGACACCAATATAGTAAACTAGGGGGCTCGCCTTACGAAAATTTCGAGTTACAAAAAGCTCCAGCCACAAAGTTTTGCTTCTACTTGTGGCCGGAGCTTCGACTTACGAAAGAAAAAAGGCAGGGGAAAAGGGCGGGAAATTTAAATTTACCAGCTGTTGGTGGGGAAGAGGCTGCTTCTTCACCCCAATGGTTAGGAAAAGGGAGGCTCAGCCTCCCGGACTTCCAACACTGCCCTGACCGCCGCGCTGGATGCCAATGCTTTGGAAGCCCAGGAAGCTGCCACCCTATGTGGCAGTCAGGGCGCCTTTGGAAGCCCATGAAGCTGGGCTTCCAAAGCTATCCCCACTGCCCTCTGTCTCCTGTCCCCGCTGTCACTGAGGCAGTGGGGACAGGAAGCAGAGGGCAGCGGGACAGGAGGCAGAGGGCAGCACAGGCTGTTTTGGAAAGCAGAGGGCAGTGGGGGCAGCTTTTATTTATTTATTTTTGCTGATTTTTTTTCTTTTGCCAGAACAGATTAAATTGTTTTCAGCGCATTCCTATGGGAAACGGTGCTTCAACTTACGAAATCTTTGAGTTACGGCCACCGTTCCAATACAGATTAGTTTTGTAAGTCGAGGCACCACTGTATTCTTTAAGAAATCCATTTCTCTCAAAAATGCTGTGCAACTTGAAAGGGAGCAGAAAAGCAGGGAAGGGGGACAGATGTGCTATAGTCCGTTCTAATCAGAAAGTCCCAGGGTTTCCACCGTTTGAGTTCTGGCTCCAGTATGCCACTAGCTGTACAAACTCAAGGGAAGAAGAGTACAGCAGCACAACGTTGCCTTTCTGTTTCCAAGCTGAATTCAGGATGCTGATAATGACTTAGAAAGACCTAAATAGAGCCCAGCAATCTGAAGGAACGCCTCCCCCCCTCCAGACATGCCTGTGTCCTTAGGTCTGTGGGAGAGGCCAGCCTCAATATCCCACTTCAAGGTGAAATTCAGCCTTTTCCATATTGGCACCCTGACTGTGGCATCCTGATTACTTTCCATCATGAGGTACGCCTAGTGCCACTGTTATTGCCAGTTCAGTGTCAGGGAAGTATATTCACTAGCTTTACTAAATATGTTGCATTTTATTTTTAAAATATTGTTAGTTACCCCAGGATTTTTTTTAAATGCAGGGCAATACAGAAATAAGAGTAAAAAAAATGTTCCACATTCACCTTGTGGTTGGCACAAGGGCTGGCAGTACTAACTTGGTAAGGGATTGCATACATTTTTCTGTCTTACTGCAGAAGTTGAGTAGGAAATAGTGGTTCAAGATGCACAGTTGACTACACTGGTGTGCTTAGCCTGTGCCAGTTGAACTGAGCATTCCATGCACTTAGGGCTGCTAAAGCTAGTCAACTACATGAGCATGAGTCACTGTCAGTGGTCACGTGTGAATGTACTCTGCAGCTTTCCGGAAGACTTGCCATGTTGCCTCAGTCCAGTACAGGCTAGGGAATGTGTGACCTTCCAGATGTTGTAACCTATGCTAAGGGCAATGGAAGTTGTACTGTATATCTAAGAGGCCAGATGTTCCACATCTTTAGTCTAGCATTTCAACAAATGCCTGAAAACAAATATCACAGTGGTCAACATTATAGCATGATACGGGCTGAAGATCAGAGTTTGCAGCTTTCATGTTTACATACTGGCCATTTTGATGTTGTAAATAGGATGTGTCTCTGGCTACTTTTTGTTTTACATCCCATGGGTCTGTTTTGTATAGAAAAATTGTAAGCAATGTTAAAAGCACCCACCTTCTGGAAAATCTTTTTCTCCCCACCCTGCATTTGGGAGGCTCCAGCTGTGATTTGCTTTAGAGGCTTGTTAAAGATCTGTTGTATTCACTCAGGCTTCCCTAACCACTTGTGTGGCCCAGTTTGTAAACTGTGTTTTAAATTCCTGCTTGTAAATGTTTTAATTGAGATTTGCTATATTATTGTAATGTTCTGTGCTTTGTCTATCTGGCAATATATATATGAATGTTACTTTCAAATACCCTTAAGTAGTCTGCAAATGTCCTAAAGGCATAAACAAATAATGTTCACGAGATGTGGATCAAAGAGGAGACACAGTTTCCTAGATTACATGCAGAAGCCTTAAACTATCTCCCTTCACTCCTGCTCCGCACAATCTGCACAATATACAAGAGTACAGCAAAATACAAGATGATTATATGCAACTCCCTGGAATGGTGGCTAGTATGTGTAACTATGGAGCACACATGAGAAACATGCATCCTGAAGAACTTCTGAAACGTCTACAGTAAATGTGCAAAGCAACAGTGATGGAACTAGTAATGAATTTTGTAAGAGCTGCACAAACTTTGAAGCAATATTCCCAGATGTTGTAACCTCTGTAACTTACCTGCCTGGTTGACATGAACACACCTGGAGGAGGGAATAGTGGCCCTGCCCTCTACTGTTATTGCTTTGCTCCAGAGGAAAGTGACAAATCTGGAAAGGTTTCTTCATGCATAGAGGCGTTCTACATAAGTAAGAGCCCTGAGTTTTCCAGCATTCCTCCTCGCATGGAGAGAGTCCAGGTGAACAGGAATCTCCCTTCATCAGACTTGTCATTTCCACCATGAGGAAAGGAATTACAGAGGGGCTGAGGGTACTGACACCCATTCTTGCATATTGCAAGATAAATAACAATTCATGGGGCAAATAATGACTGGATTACTATTTGCCCAAATTCTGCCATTTTTTTAGAAACTAGTTGAAAAAGTGTTGCTGAGAAAAGGAAAGCAGCTTCCACAAAGCCCTCCATTCTGGAGAGCAACAGCTGCTGCTTAAATGGAGCTATGTAGGAGTAAGGAACTGAAATCAGACACCATGGTCTTAATCTTTTAGCAATTCAAGACATGTAGTAAATTTTCCTTTAGTAGGAGGAAATGGATTTTAATCTCTGCATGCTATTATGGTTCTCTGTAATGAGTGGAGTTAGATAACTTGTCTGCCTGTTATGGAGCATCGTGTGTTGAGGTAAGAAGTGAGTTGTTGCTGTAACAACAGAAATTGGCATATGGTACTGAGAAAAGAAAGAACACAAATGTTTTGAGGAAACAGAATCTGTGCTTTAATTCTTTGTGAGGATTTTTGTAAAAAGCAATCAGTATGTCTCAAACAAGGGTGCCACTATTGCAAGTTATCTGATATTTACTCCCAGTTTTATAATAGTAACACCTTAATGCACCAGCTGGCTACACTTCTTCTGCTAGGTTAATTAAAGTTTAGTGTATTTCTCTTGTTTTTAAAATGATGTATGTGTTCAGAAAGTCACCCAGTTGGTAGGCACTGTGATCAAAGTGGAACTGAAGCTATTTGTGATGGCAAGGGTTTAATCTGCACCTGCACAGAATCTCTCGGCTAAAGGGAGTCTCTGGGCGATACTTTCATGTTCGATTGGGCAAAAGACCTTCTATACCTTTGTTTGATAAATTGTTTGCATGTGCCGTATTTTTCTGTGTATAAGACAATACTTTTTCCTAAAATCTTTAGCCTAAAAATTGAGTGTCGTCTTATACACAGAATGAAGCTGAGGCGAGAACAAAATGGCACATACCTTGCCTTTGCAAACAGGCTGCCTCCAGTCACAAGGTTTAGCTTCCTACAGTCAGGAGACAGCTTCCTCCAATCATGAGTCTTATGGAACTGACGTCAGTTGATGCTGTACAAACCAATTTGAACACACCTCGTTGGACGTGGAGCTTGTGGGCGGTGCTCAGATTCAACAGAGACTCATAATGTCCAAGCATTCTTAGCCCAGAGGCTGAAAACTCAAAGCTAAGTTTTCTTAATTTGGGGTTAGAAAAGTGGGGGACGACACTTATACACGGGGGTGTCTTATAGTCAGAAAAATACAGTATTGCCTTTATTGTTTGTGGAGACGGTTTTCAGAACACACACCAGATTGAAAGGCACTGAAAAGTGCCTCTGTTGTTGTTTTCTAACCTTTCTTCTCCTTTGTCTTTGTTTCCTCCAGAGAGAGATTACTGCAGTTTATGTGACAAGCAGCCAATAGGAAGGCTTCTCTTTCGGCAGTTTTGTGAGACTCGCCTGGAGCTTGACTGCTGTATTAGGTTTCTTGACTCAGTGGTAAGTAGGTTCTTATGACTTTTTCAGTACTTTATTGTACCTTGTTTTAGGTGTGAAACAAAACATAACAGAGCCCCCCCCCCCAAAAAAAAGGTTATTTATACCTTGTTTTGGGTGTGAAACAAAACATAACAGAGGGCTCCCCCCCCAAAAAAAAAGTTATGGGTTCCCATATGTGAGTACAAAGCGGGACATGGTGGTGCTGCGGGTTTAACTGAAGCAGCCTCTGTGCTGCAAGGTCAGAAGCCCAGCAGTCGTAAGATCAAATCCACGCGCCGGAGTGACCGCCCGGCGCTTGTCCCAGCTCCTGCCAACCTAGCAGTTCGAAAGCATGCAAATGCAAGTAGATAAATAGGTACCACCTCGGTGGGAAGGTAACAGCATTCCGTGTCTAGTTGCGCTGTCCATGTGACCATGGAAACTGTCTATGGACAAACGCTGGCTCTACGGCTTGGAACGGGGATGAGCACCACCCCCTAGAGTCGGACACGACTGAACTAAATGTCAAGGGGAAGCTTTACCTATGTGAGTACAAAGAATGAATACTCCTTTCAGAAGAGTAATGTCCCCTGCCAAAGTCCCTGAGCTTTCTGTTCGTGTCACAGACTGTACCTCTTGCACAAAGGTGGGCAGAGTGGAGGCCCTGGGTCTGTTTTTACAGCAGCATCAGATTCTCCTTTCTCCTGCTAAAGTGGTTTTCTCTAGCAAGAAAAGGTGAATTGCCACCCCTAGAAGCCTTCTTCCAAACAGATTGCAGATCTCCTACAATGTTCAATTGTTATTGTTATACTCCATCAAGTTGAAATGACTTATAGAGACCCTAGAAGGGCTTTCAAGGTGTGAGATTTTTAAGGAATGGTTTTACCAGTTTCCATGGCCAAGTGAGAATTCAGACTGTGGCCTCCAGAGTTCTACTCCATCACTCCATCCACTACACCACACAATGTTTAATACCTCCTCCATTAAAAACAACAATTTTTCAAAATGAAAAGGGGACTGCCAAGTACTTTCTGTTTTCATGCTTATCAGGTGGGAGCTGCCTATTTTGACAGTATATAAGGACCTAGGAAGATCCTGGAGTGCAGACAAAATAGACCTCAGAGAGGGTGAATTTGCCCAACTCTCCTATAGCGTTTCATGACCTAGATGGTCCTGCTCATGATATTTGCCATGTCTGTGTGTGGAGTTACATACTCAGGAGGAACTAGCTATAAAGAAGTGTTTATTAATTCCTTTGTTTTCAAAAGCAAAGGTTTAATAAAGTTACATGTCAAGAATGTAAAAAGAACGGGTACAGCATCCTCCTGGGCCCCTGGGCCAGGGCTACACGGTCCCACTGGAGGTATCTCTGCCAACCTCCTCACTCAGTGTCAAAATTTTAGTCAGCAAATCCTCCACGATCAAACTCATTTTATGCTTTATGTGTCATGGACAGGGAGCATATGAGCTGAGGGCACTGTTTTCCAAAGGTAAATCTAATCTAATCTAATTGCAAAGGTTCCAGTCTATAAAATTTACATTCTCTTACCGTAAGATAAAGCTGGCAGGTTGCATCATATAGCTGTCATTACTGAGAACTGAAAATTCTGCTTTGACAGGTTAGGTGGCCCTTTTCATGCTGAATTTCTGAAGCTGAGATACAGACTTTGCACTGGATATATGTGGAGTCAAATGAATGCAAACAGCACAGCCTTGCAGAGGAATTGCATGATTGTATTCTTCCAGACAAAAACTAGCAGAGGAGGGGGGGCATAAAATGTATTCACTTTTCATTGTAAAAAGGTTGGTTTTATTGTATCTGTACATGCAGAAACTTCTCTGAAATTTTAAAAATGACATATGGTATTAAAATATTCTTGAATAAATAAAATACCACAATCTCTTCCATTAAAAAAAACCCTCCACATACATTTCTCCAAATCTTTAACTTTTAGTCATTCTTTTCATATACAGTATTGGAATTATTTGTCTTTTCACTATCATTTTTTGACAGTTTTCTATCCAGGAAAGGGAGGCGAAAAAAAGGAAAGTTGAGTGGAGCTGGGGCACATAAAGGGAGAGAGATGTCAGTGTGATAAAATGGAGGACAGTAAATGAAGCAATATGAAAATTAAGTCCTTTAAAGTAATGGTGAGATATAATTAAGCCTTGAAGAAGAATCCATTTTGGAATGCAAAATGGGGAAAGGTGGAGGGGATTGAGAGTAATGGTAGCAGAAAGACCAATCAGCTAAATGGCTTTGAACAATATTCTATAGTAGAAAGGCAGGGTATAAGTGCAGTAAATTACCTTTGGCACTAAATCCTGCCAGCTAGAACAGACTCACTGAGCAGAATGAATAGACTTAAGTCAACGTCTCATTGGTTCAAAGGCCCATTTCTGTTTGGGACTAACAACTGCATTTACCTCCTTTTTATCTTCAGGTATAAGTTCAAACCCCATTGTGTTCCCCCCCCCCCCCCCAAGTATCTTCATGTTAGATAGGTTTTATCATATAAACGTATTTCATTGAGATCAATTTCTGTGAAACTCTTCAAGGTTTATTCACACCAGGACATAATAGTTCCATTCACTATGCAAAAAACATAGAAAGATGCCTTGTACTAAAGGAGACCGTTGGTCAGTCTAACTCAATATTGTCTGTTCTGAGTGGCAGTGATATTTCTCAGCCTTACTTGGAGACCAGAAATTTGAACCTGGAGCACTCTGTTTGCAAAGCAGCCTTTTGGCTACTGAGCTAGACTTCCTTCTCATAGTGAGAACAACATTACAGCTAGGCCATAATTTACTGTCATATATATTCAGATTACTTCTACAACCCTTATAAGCCACTCACCTCCTGTGCATGTGCACACACACACACTCAAAACACACACGTATTTCACCAGATACAGTCTGTAAGATGCTACCTTAGATGTGTGCATATTCTTATTCATCGTGCATACTTATGCTGTACATTACAAATATAAAACGTCTTCCCATACCATGGCTATGTATGTGTGCTTTGATGCAATGTGCTTATTTGCGAAAGAAGGGGATCTCTGGAACACTCCCACCATTTTATATCTTCTATTTATAACAACTGACTTGAAGTAGATTAGATATAAATATATATGCAGTTCAAGGAACTGCTGGATAACTTAGTGGTTTAGTTCCTCCGGCTATGGAATCTGAGGTTCAATTCCCCAGTATGATGATCCGTAGGGTCCCTTCCAGCTCCTCAGTTCTGAGGTGATGAATGTTCCTGAAGCCTATCTATTTTAAAATGTATTTCATAGGTGGATCATGTGGCATGTTTATGATGGTCGACATTTTTAAGCAAATCACCTTGACTGACCTAAACATCCTGGAACAGAATCAGTGACCAGAACTTCACAAGCCACGTTGACAAGATTTCAATGAGTGGGCAGTCTGACCTCTAAACCCTTGATTCTTTCTTTTTAATACTTAAGAAAAAGTCTTCATTGCCAATTCACAAGAATCTCTTTCATTGCTCTTACTCAGAGGTCAATACAGTATTGATTTGTATTATGTTGCTATAAACCATAACCTTGTCTGGCTGTCACTACTGGTGCAATTTGAAGTGGCTTTAGCAGAAAAGCCTTCATAGAAAATCTAATTTTTGTTCTTTTATTTTAAAGCATGAATATTCTCCCTCAATGTAGGTTGTATTCTGACTCGGAGTATAAAAAGAACCCAGTGTTTTCTACCACCCCCATGCAGTATCTTCTTTTGAGAAGAGGGATGAGAGGGTCAACTCATTTTGAATTGCAATGACTAAATTTTCCAGTTTTGCCTCTTTTTTTATCTGCTAGAGACCTAATGTATGATTAATTAATATTTTCTGAAGGCCAACCAGGTTCCTCACAATTCTTGTATCATTTTGAATTCCTGGCAACTGTGCATCTCTGGTTTCATACAAAAGCAGAAGATTTCTCAGCATTTCAGTAGGAGTTCTTCAAAATCCTCTCAGTTCTTATCTTGATTGGTCTTTGTATGCTTTAGATATTCCATGGTGGTGGTACCATTATCCTGAAAATGCTGCTTTTCTTAACTCTGCTGTTGCTGGCAGGCAGATCATTGCCCATATTCTTAAAACTGGGAATGGCATACACTCCACTTTGGAACTTGGTTTAAATGGGACTCCCATTTTGGAACAGGCCTTGACATGGAACCATGATAATTTGGGGGACTTTTCCATCTGCACCTCCATTGCTCTGTAATGTCCAGCCCGATGTTGAGTCCTTCGAGACTTGAAAAGCATGCCAGTTTTGTGAGATTTAACAGTATAGCTAATCCTTTCCCCCCCTTCAGAACCTGTAATGGAACAGCATCTTCCACCACAACTAAGAGCAGCAAGATAGCTCCAGAGGGAGAGAGGAAAGCCATGTGGCATCCACATTTATGTTCTCCAGTATCTCATCATTACTGCTTATCTTCAGAACTTTGCTAACAAAAGCAGCTGCCCCACTCTGCTTGCTAGCAGGGCAGGCCTTCTACCACTGTGCTATGGGTACACAACATTCAGTGCAGCTCTTGCATTAATTTTGCAAAGAGTTTAAGGATGACATTGCCAGAAATATGAAGGGGAAGGTCCAATAGTCACTGTAGATAACTTGTCACCCCATCAAGTGTCATGGGCTGCTTATGAAAGTATCTCCCCAACTGAAATTTTGGGAGGAAGCCCTCCCCAGTTTATGAGCCACTTCTGCTTGTCACAGACATTGTGTGAAGCCTGCTTTTGGTGCCCTGGTGTATTAAGGCCATAACCTCCATGCTGGTTTTAAGGCTCTGATTATCTTGCTATCCATCATCATTATATATAAAAGCACCTGATGTATGCTAGACATTGTTCAGAAATAAAATGAACAAGTCTTTGCCTGCACCTTCACGGTCTTGAAAAGACACACACAGAGAGAAAAGAAGCAAAGGGGGAAAATGTACTTGCAGGATAGGATTAAAGAAAACACAAAGTGTTACTGTAAAAACTTATACAGTGA